CATTGGCAGCAGCCCCATGGTGGGGAGGCATATGATTATTTTGAACATTAGGGCCTATAGGAGCAAAGCTTAACTCCTTGGCATCTAAAAGAGATTGCACCTTGTATTTTAAAGCTTTGAAATTTTCGATCGACTGGCCTGGAGCACCTGAATGGAATTCACAATGTGCGTTAACATCATAACCCCTTGGGAGTTCTGCTGGCGGAGGAGCTAACTCTCGAAGTTGTACTAACTGACCAACTAGCAATTCTGGAAGCAATTGAGCATACGACATCGGGATTGGATTCGATCCTCCTTTCGGGGTACCTTTGCTACCTTTGTTGACCCCTCTTCCCCTGGGGCCTTTGGTTTTGTTGATAGTTTTGCGGCGATGCATACTGTTGTTGAGGAGTAACATCAGGGGTTTGGTAATACGGAACCTGTACAATAGCTTTCCCTTTATCATCAGAGGTATTGCTTACCTCTCCTTCTTTTTTCTTGACGAAACTGCTAGAGTATGGTTTCTTCCCACCACCTGAGTTGTTGTTACCGTTTGTGCTAGATGCGCCTGGGATAGTCCCTACCTTAACACACATTTCAACCCGTTCCCCGATGATGACCATATCTGAAAACGAGTCAGAAGTACTACTGAGCATATGTTGCAAATACGGGCCTCGAAGGGTACTCATGAACAAATCCACTAATTCCCGATCTAGGAGAGGAGGTTGAACTCTTGCGGCCAAACTGCGCCATCTCTGGGCGTACTCTTTGAAAGACTCACCAGTCTTTTGAGACATACTTTGCAGCTGCGCACGGCTAGGTGCCATGGCGGTGTTGTAGTGATAATGTTTTAAGAAAGCATCAACAAGCTCACTCCAATTACTAACATGAGTTTGTTCCAACTACATGTACCACTCTAATGGAGCTTCAGCAAGACTGTCCTGAAAGAAATGCATAAGCAATGGCTCATTGCTAGCATAAGCAACCGTCTTTCTGCAGTAAGATCGGAGATAAGTCTCTGGGCATGTAACCCCCTTATACTTGTCGAAATCAGGTACCTTAAACTTCGGCGGAATCACAACTCCCGGAACTAAACACATAGCAGCGACACTGAATCCTGGTTTCTTAGAAGTCTCCATAGCCTTTAAGCGTTCTTCCAGAGCCTTGTACATCTTAGCAGTTTCAGACAGATTAGTCGTAGAATCCTTTGGAGGGTCATCGAGATCAATGACATCATGATGGTCATCTATAATCATCTGTGGGTTCTCTTTAGGAATCCCCCCATGATCATTCTTGGGTCCACCGTTCTCGGATGTGGAGGCAACGTCTACCAGTTTTGTGACGCTTATTCTGAGCTCTTCCTTCCCTTGGATGACGGCATGAAGAGTTTCCATGAGTTGGTTCCTCCGGTCACCCATGGTGTCCATGTCTTTGCGGAGAGAGGCCTGGTTCTGCTCAATCTGTTCCATGATCCTCAACTTGTTGGCTCGAGTGCGATAAGGATGTATGGAAGTCGTCTTGTAGATTCTATAATAAAAGGCAAAATCATCAGATAAGAACTCTTGCCAGCAAACCTGCAATTCATGAAATGCATGATATGTATGATGTATGAAATGATTGTCCACTCCGGTTCTCCATGGTTCAATTACCGTCAATAGTAATCGAGCAACATGATGACAAGAACGACCACATGAAGAAGACATCCAAAAATAAGAGAAATTCCCACAGAACTGAATATACGAAGGTTATGGGAGTGTGAGCAATTGGTAACAATAATGATTAGTTCGGGGGTAGATTATTTTTTTTCATATCGCTTAGGCTCAAATAAAGTGCCTTAGCAATAATTTCAAAATCGTGCTTGTCCGGACTTGGCAACAGGTAGGTGTTCTGCAAAGAGGATCGTCCTTTCGGAATTGGAACAATTTGGTAGTCCTGGAATGTGTAACTCGTAGCTGTAAGACTGAAATAGGGTCGAAATGACGAAAATGGTCCTCTAGATTCTTCAAAGAAGGCCAAGAACTTGAGCGGAAAACTTGAATAGTACAAATAAGTATGATTGTCTCCTTTGGTTTTCTTGAGAACATCACCGTTGCCAAATGTTATTGGCGAAAATTATGCCAGAGAGGTATCCAAAGTGGACATGCATATGCAAGGTTGATAATTTCATCTTTCTGACATTTTTTTTTGAGAAATAAACATGTTATGGTGTAAATGCAAAATGATCATGGTGTTACTACTTCCATGATACCAATATCTGCTATACTGTCTCTGCGTAACTTGTAAGTACCAGGATCATAGGTCCGGAACATAAACCATACAATCTTATGAACAGACTCGGGACTTAGAAAATAAATCTGAGAACCTCCTAATCATTGACAGAGTTCCAGAGCATATCCAATAGAACTGATAGTAGCTGTTTGAGCATAATCATCATTTGAATATGAGTAACCATCTGAATATGAGTCACCATCTGTACCTGTGATAGAAATTCCCTCCCCACTCACGGGTGAAAACTAGGTCAGGGTAAGATAATGGTAACTCGAAAATCACGGGTCCGCCTGAAAGTGCTATGGGCTTACCCACAGACGTGGGTGCCGATATTAATTCATTTGAACCTCATCCGAGCGTGGTATGTGACATGACTGCACTAATCGGACCACGTCGTATAGTCGTCATGCCTCCACTCTATTCCTAGGTGTCCTAGTGCACTCTGGCCTGGGTACTGGGCCTTTTACCTCAAAAGTAACATCCCAACCCAATAAGAAGTAGATCCTGTACAGAAGTAGTATATGGAAGACAGTAAAATACAATGCATATGTATGCTCAAGTATATACAAAATGAATGAATAAACCGAAAGCGTAAATATAAACACCCAAATAAAATAAAAGAAGAGCTAGGAGCGACTCCGAGATGGACCAGCATTTGGTCGACCTTTCCCTAGTGAAGTCGCCAGCTGAAACAACCGGCTGAAAATTATCAAACAATGAAGTCGCCATCGAACGTCTTTTATACCACATGTAGGGAAAGGTAAACATCGAGAAAACCTGAGAAGGGAGAAGTCACGGTCTTGCGACCAAGAGATCGGGTAAGGGAGTCTGTTACGCGAGGGAAAGGTATTAGCACTCCACACGCCCGTAGTACTCTACGGTATCCACTCTTGTTATCTATCTTATGGGTGTGTTTAATCTATGCTTACTGTCTATTACTGCTAAGGGAGAATGCGTGCAAAATAAAAGAGAAAAGAATGTAGGGAAAATAAAATTGTGCTCGCTTGGGCCCTACCCCAATGCCTACGTATCCTTTTTGAGGAATCAGAGCTACCGTAGTTCGGCTCATATGTTTTTGTTTGTTCGTGTTTTTTGTGGACGAAGTTAATTCCGCCTTCTGCCGCAGCTCGACCTTTGGAGACTTATGCGTTGGCACAGAAGTAAATTAATCGTGTCCTTACCTGAAAAGGGTTTCTTAGAGAAATGGTGCTCGAGCGCACAAAATGGTTTGACTTTGTTTTTTGTATTTTCGTTGCAGATAATGACTAGTCGACCTCAAGAGAGAGATATTAGCCATTTTTCTACTTAGTCATGAAAGGAGTCTTTGAGAATTGAACCACACCTATGCTTGAGATGAAGAGCAATAAGATCGAGAAGAGACCCGCTTATCATTTCTCACACTAAGCAAAGGCTTGATTCTCATAAATAGTTTTAAAGTGTTTTGAATTTTGAAAGAAAAGAAGTTGTAGTTTTAGGTGCGTATGCAAAAAGAGAAAGAAAAGTAAAGGGGGATTAGCTTACTTCTAAACCTAATGCTATTATGTATTGTTAGACCTAAAGTTAGAATTTTGAGGGAATTCTACCTAATGTTAGCATGTTTGGATTTAGGATCCGAATGATAATTTAGTTCAATTAGATCAAAGATTAAATTTGAACCAAAGTCACCTAAGGGATCATGAAAGACTGTACAAACAAGTGAAATCCGTAGCAAATATTAAAGTATTGCATACGATCCAAAATAAAGTATTGCAAACAAAATACATGATACAAAATGAATAAAATTAATGATTAAAATTGACTAAAAAAATTAGCAGAAGAAGAAATATATTCCTAATTAATTTCTAAAACGCCTTCTAATATCTCTATCGTTTTCTACTATATATTTTGTTATAGTTTTATCATATACTTTTATTGACAAAAATTATGAAAGAGAAAAAAACAAAATGAACATAAAAGGAACAGAGGTGTAAAGTCAGAATGGGAGTGTATTAGGAACAGGGCGCTGGACCATCTCAGGAAAGTATAAAAGCCTTTTTGTTTTTTTTCATGTAAGCATCAACTTAAGCTTCAAACAAGTTGAAATATACCTAAGGGAATGCTATTCGGCCCAGTAGTGTACCCAGCCCGTACATCTCAACAAGCATTTTTTGTTGAGTTAAAGCTTCAAGCTACCAAAAACATTATTGGGCTTAGGTAGGTATGGTTCGGCCCAACATCATATCCATATATTTCTTTCCTCCAACATTATTCACTATTATTAATATAATTTAGAGAAAGAAAATAATAAAACAAAATAATGAATCAACAATGAAATATGAAACGATGCAGTTTTGCATTAGGTTGGGAGAGTAACCCTTGGTCTTCTCTTGAATACCCGATCCTTGTTTTCATCTTTCTCTCTCTTTCCTTCACCGTCATTCAGCTTATTCCACCATAGCCTCACCTCACTCCGCCATAGCCTCACCTCAGTTCCGCCATAGCCTCACCCCAGTTCCGATTCCGCTCCGCCATAACGTCGCATCTCTTCATCATCCTCGCCTCATCCAAATCTCTGTTCTCCATAGACGGTCAATCATCGTCATAATCACCACCATCTATATCGGAGATCTCAAACCACATACACCAATTTCTTCATCTCTGAATGAATGTTCTAAATCCTACCTCCTTTTTCATCCATCTCTTTTATTTGTTCTTAATTTATCCAAAAACGTAAACCCTAAGCCTCCGAGAATACAGACTAAACAAGGATGAATATGGGTTCCCGGCCGCGCCTCTATGGGGCCATTGATTGGCATGCTTTCCTCTACATACTTATACAAAGAAGTCACGAAGAAGACAAAAAAAGTGAGTTTCAGATCTTACCGGTCGGAGGCTTTGCAACGCTGTTCCGTAGTCACCGTCTTCGAAACAGAAGTTCAGAAATCAATTCAGGTACGACATCATTTGATTTCTTCCGCTCGATCTTCTTCTTCTCGTCCCTGCGAATTTCTTCTGTTCTTGCGTCTACTTTCTTTGTATGCAATCGGTAATGTTAATTGTCGCGGTGTTGATGCATTTACTATGAACCATCAGAGGGATTGAAAGGAGAGTTTGGAGGTCTTAGCTCTGTTGATTAGAGTTTCAGAGGTTGAAAACTCTAACAACAATGGTGATGAGCGTATATGTGAGGTTAGGGATGGAGAAAATCAGAGAGTGAAGAGAGGAAAGTGAATAGTGAAACTAAAGAATTGGTGAAAAATTCGTGGTGTGAAATTTGGAGGGAGCAGAATATATATAGGCACTAGGTTCGGATGAAGGGAAGGTTTGGGAGTTAGGTTCGGAGGGTTAAGTTTGCTCAGGAGTTTGTTATCTCAGCTTAGGAGTCAGTTACATAGGTTTGGGTGATTTGAAGTTAGGCTTGGAATTCAGGTGGAGCAGCTTCGGTTTCAGTTAGAAGCTTGAGTTGATTAGGTTTGTGTGAAACAAATGCTAGGTTCGGCATAGTAATGTTAAGATTGGGAGTTTGTTATTGAAGAGGGAATCAGTTGGAGGAAGTTGAATTCTAAACCCTTGGATTTGATGGATCAATTTTTCTGTTATGCATATGCTATTCAGAAGTTGGTTACAGGTTTGTTAAGTTAGTCACAATTAGAAAATTCTGTTTTGGTTTGTTGGGAATTAATAACTGTTTCTTTTTGTAAAAATTGTTGAATGTTTGATAAGGTTAGGAAAAATGGTTTTGATAATTGGAAGTGTAGTGTATGTGTTATAGTTAGTTATGAATTAGTTATGGAGATGTTAGAATTTCTGTTGGGAAGTTAGTTAGAAAAGCTGTTAGTTTTGGTTGGTTACCGAATGTTAGTTATGTTTGGGTAAGCTGAACTGGTTAAATAATTTCCTCCTGAACTTCTGATAGAAACTTTCCCCTGATTTAAATAGCTGATTTGATGATTTTTGCTTCCTTGTTCACAGCACAGGGCACGGTCTTGAGAGGCTACAACAGTGGAATCTTCCAACTCAAAGCATCCAAAAGTACTGTGTTTCTTCCTCCCATTTTTACATTGAGTTTTAAGGTCACATTTGCTAGGTACTGTCTGTGAGTCTTGAAAACATTTTTTGCAGGACAGCATTGTGAAATCAACCCAAGATCTGTTTCACAGGTTCTTTTGAGATCACCATACAAGGAGCCATTAATGTCTGGAAGAACGGAAATTAATAACTCTAGCTCTTTACCATCGAGTTTGTCTAGAACAGCGGTATGTATATACTTCAAAGCCTTCTTGACCTGATCTGGTCTTACTGAATATACAGGAATCACAGGTTCTTGACTAAATTCCATGCCTAAGATTCGACACTTCTGAACTAACTATTGGCAAAAATCTGTGAGCTGTGCTTTCTTGTACATTTCGTGAGAAATTGATGCATGCCCAATATCTTACAGTACTTCCATTTAACTTTCTTGTTCATCATATTCCATTGTCTGACTTGTGGCAAGTTTGATGAATACATATCTGGAAGTGCGAGATGGACAGTATTGCACCAAGCAGTATTATGCATATTATTTATTCATTACTGAACTGTTGTTTGATTAATTGCAGGACATGGCTGGTTCCAAGCCTCAAAGCATGTTTGTTGTTTGGCATAATTTAGTTTTGGATATAGGACAAGACTTGGGGTGGAGAGTAAGAACAACTTGAGACGGACTTATGGAGATCTTCTCAAGCCAAGCAAAAATGAATGAAGGCATAAAAATCTGAGAGAGCAGTCACCAATTTGTAATAAAATTTTGTACCGTCGTATGTGATGGATGTTTATTGATACTTGATATTGCCTTGGTATAATGTATTAGGTGCCATGAAATGATCTTATACTTGATAGTATAATGGCAACCTTCAAATACTCAAAGCGAATTTCCCTTTCGTTAATTTCTTTCTTTGCTTTTGTAATTATGTTGACAAAAAATGATGATGACTTTGTAATATAACGAGAACCTTCGAGTTCGAATGGCAAAAATCCAAATACTTCAAGTAGCTTTCTCTCCCGCTTCTAATTTTGTATTTGCTTCTAGATGAGTCATGGACATTGATCCATCAAGGTCTTGAATAATCAAACTTCCCTTGACATTTATGAATGGATCACCAAGCTTTAATAACCTCAAATGATTTAATGAACTTTAAACTTGATTATGACTCGATTTCCTAGTAAATGCCTCTTTCATTTTAATACTAATATGAACTTCAACCGAGTTTGAATCATCATGAAAACCCCTATTTCAACTCTTCCATCCACGTTAACTTGTATTTCAAACAACACGCTAGTATCTCAATCACCACTTCATCTTTATACCACAATTTAAACTTTGTAATCTATTCCACCAATGCACCTCAATAGACAACCAATGACCTTGAAGTTAATGTCACGGAGAAAATCTTGTAGATAAGAACAATTATAAGCATATAACTGACGATGATCATAAGGTCTTGAGATCCCTTGAGATGCACTTTGATGGTTTAAAAGCCCATGGTGAAGATGCCCTTGTAGCTTGATAAGAAAGAAGTCCATAATAGCCATGCATCCAAAACCCTATCTTCAAACCATAATTGTCGAAGAAACCAACTGATTCAAGCCTGAGTGAAGATGAGGACCGTCAACGCCATAAAAACCCTAATTCCACCATATCATTGATTCCATGCCAAATTATATTGTTAGCGAATATATGCAATGTTAAATGACCTAATGGAAATATGTACATGCGAAAAGTGCGACAATGCATAAACCAGATAAAAGTAGAAGGGTAGGACAAATTTGGGGTATTACAACGGTGTAGGGGCAGTATTTACATCCCCAAAGAATTATCACAAACCCTACACTACAAGGTTGTGTTTTGACTGCACCAACAACATCGCCGAATACGAAGCCTGTATACTAGGACTGGAAGCCGCCATCGTTTTGAGAATAAAGCACTTATAATTATTTGGGGATTCTGCATTAGTCATATACCAGGTTAATGGCGAATGGGATACTAAACACCCTTAACTGATTCCATATCGGGATCATGTTTTAAAGTTAGCCACAAAATTTAAAGAGATCACTTTCAGTCATATCCCACGAGAAGAAAAATCAAATGGAAGACGCCCTGACAACCCTATCAGCTATGTTCAAAGTGACTTGGCCAAATCATGAACCACGTATTACGATCAAGCATTTTGAAGAGCCCACACACTGCCTTTCTATTAAGGAAGGACCTGACAACAAGCCTTGGTTTTACGACATCAAGAAGTACTTAGAAACGCAGGAATATCCAGAAAATGCCTCTATCATTGACAAGCGAACCTTGTGAAGGTTAGCTTCAAAATTATTTTTGAGTAATGGAGTGGTATACAAAAGAAACTACGACATGGTACTACTCAGGTGTATGGAAAAGCAAGAAGCAGATACGCTCATGAGAGAAATCCATGAGGGTAATTTCGGAACTCATACAAATGGGCACGCCATGGCTAGAAAAATTCTACGATCAGGGTATTATTTGTTAACAATGGAAGCCGTTTGTTATGACTACACGAAAACGTGACACAAATGTCAGATCTACGCCGACAAGATAAATGTACTGCCGACTCATTTGAACGTCATGAACTCACCTTGGCCATTATCAATGTGGGGACTTGATATGATTGGCATGATCGAGACGAAAGCATCCAACGAACACCGCTTTATATTGGTAGCCATCGACTACTTTACCAAGTGGGTAGAAGAAACGTCCTACGCCAACGTAACAAGTCAAGTGGTTACACGCTTCATCAAACAGAATATCATATGCAGGTATGGTGTCCCAAGCTGGATAATTACAGATAACGGGTCTAATTTAAACAAAAAGATGATGAAGGAACTGTGCGACGACTTCAAAATTGAGCATCATAATTCCTCACCGTACAGACCAAAGACAAACAGGGCCTTCGAAGCAGGCAACAAAAATATCAAGAAGATCATCCAGAAGATGGTGAAGACATAAAAAGATTGGCACGAAATGCTTCTCTTCTCCATGCATGGCTATCGCACCTCTGTATGCACATCGACAAGCGCGACCCCTTTCTCACTAGTATATGGCATGGAAGCAGTACTCCCGGTGGAAGTTAAGATACCATAACTTCAGGTCTTGAGGGAAAAAATGCTGGAAGAAGAAGAGTGGGTGCAGACATGACTTGACCAGCTCAACCTTATTGAAGAAAAATGATTGACAGCTTTGTGTCATAGCCTTCAACAAGAAATTTCGCCCTCGAATATTCAAGGAAGGGGATCTAGTGCTCAAGAAGATTTTACTACCTTGCCTCGATTCACGTGGTAAATGGACACCCAACTACGAAGGTCCATATGTAGTCAAAATGGAATTCTTCGGAGGTGGTCTCATCCTTACAACAATGGATGGGGAAGAACTACCGCATCTGGAAAATTCAGACGCAGTCAAAAAATACTATGTATAAAAAGCTCGCTAAGCTCGAACCCCAAAAGGGCGACTTAGGAAAAAAGGAGCGTCTCGATGGATCGAAATCCCTAAAGTGAGATCCAGGCAAAAATTAGGGGCACATAACAAGAAAATTATCCCGATGGATTGAAAACCCAAAAGGGAAATCCAAGAAAAAGTTAGGGGTTTCATACAATGAAATAAAGAACAAAAAGACTGCGATCTAAAGAGCTACGACTACGGACAACGAAGGGAAGGATAGATTGATATCATACAACTCAGAAGCAAAGGAGATAAGATAATCAAAGGACATGGGGGGAACATCAGTAGGGATTATCATTTTTCATTTCCATTTACTGTTTTAAAACTCTCTGTAATTACCTCTTTCTAGGAATTGCATCTTGTATTCTCGCCTACTTTGAGGCATATCAATAAAGCATTTGATTTCTTTACATATTTCGAATTATGTTTTTCTTTTCTTATATTTTTTTACAAAATACTACGATTATTACTTGTGAATATTATCTTGAAGTCATTTTGGGGAATTAACAAAATAAAAGCATTCGGCAAAACATCAGAAAACATTTTGGTTAGAAAAATATTGAAAGAAAATCCACGTCTACGTCCATGCACACGACTGTGCCTACTCCTACATCCACACGTCCGGACACAAATTCCGGGTCTACGCATCCGCTTACAATATAAGAGTCTACACATATGCCAATATCTATGCCTACACCTACGCACATGCCATTACCTGCGTCTACGTCAACACACGCGTTCACAATACAAAATCAATGTTCAAATTTTGCTAACATTGTCCAACTGTGCTCAAGAATAACAATGCTACGACAACACATAACGACAGGGATCAGTGACTCTAAGACAATGGTTTAAAGGAGAGAATGACAGAAATAGTCCTCATAACATTTCAAGGCATGCGGGCATCTTACACACATTTCATACATACACACATTTTGCAAATCTCAAGCATACATACATTATGTGTTCTCACATACAATACGCATATATCCAGGGTTCAGTATCAATGTAAAACATCATACATTTCACATACATCCAAACATCTCGATATCAGACATCATACGCATGTATCATGCATCAAACAAACAATACCACCCTCTATTCAATCATCCAAGGGTCCATTAACCAAATACTTCTCCTGCGATCCAACCCTTCATCTAAGTCTCCATGCCATGACGTGTTCAGCCCGTTACCTAAGTCTTCATGCAGTAACGAATGAAAACTCAGTACATTGCTTCTAAGTCGCAATGTATTCGCAAACTCAACACATTGCCTCTAAGCCGCAATGTATCCTCAAAACTCAAACACATTGCCTCTAAGCCGCAATGTATTCGCAAACTCAACACATTGCCTCTAAGCCGTAATGTATCCTCAAAACTCAAACACATTTCCTCTAAGCCGTAATGTATTCGCAAACTTAGAAAATTTCCTCTAAGCCGCAATGTATCCACAAAACTCAACATATTTCCTTTAAGCCGCAATGTATCCTCAAAACTCAACATATTGCCTCTAATCCGCAATGTATTCGCAAACTCAACATATTGCCTCTAAGCCGCGATGTATTATCTAAACTCAACAAATTGCCTATAAGCCGCAATGTATTATCCAAACTCAACACATTGCCTCTAAGGCGCAATGTATCATCCAAATCAACACATTGCCTCTAAGCCGCAATATATTATCCAAATCAACACATTGCCTCTAAGTCGCAATGTATTACCCAAACTCAACACATTTCCTCTAAGCCGCAATATATTACCCAAACTTAACACATTGCCTTTAAGACGCAATGTATTATCCAAACCAACACATTGCCTCTAAGCCGCATAGTGTTCTCCAAACTCAAACACATAGCCTCTGAGCCGTAATGTATTCGCGCTCAAAGCATCTCCTCAGACGTCATGCAGCGATTCACAAACGTAACCCATGGCCTCAGTCTTCAAGCAGCCATGCACCATCAAGTATTAATAGGTGAATAAGCCAAGACATATGAAACCACGCTTTTAAGATCAAATACTATCTTCCTCGTTATCAAACTCTGGTAAGCGATATATCATTTGCTTCACCTGTTTTCTCAAGACTCGTAAGGGTGTGCTACATCAGTGAAACCTTATGATTGGTCGGACAAATTTTGGGTATTCCAAGTATTCAATAAACTCCCAATCAGAATGCTCCAGACCCGCGTTTTCTCGCTCT